GAGGGATTCTAGCATCTCCTTAACCTTAAACCCTAAACCCCCTATGATAATCCCTATTGTCGCAAGCGGCGGCCCAGTCCCAGCTTCTTCAATGATAACCAAACTGAATCGTCGGAGAAGCTCATAGGAGCAAACATGCTCGAGGGCAACACCGCTCTGGGGATCACCCGCGACTGACGCTTCATAGAAGCTTTTCGGGACCACTTGTGGACCCCTGCACCAAGGGTTGAGAACACGATGGAGGCATGTGGAACGGCTGGTGGGAGCTCATCATCATCAACCGTAAGGCGGGAACAATGAGCTTCCTTTGAACGGCCTTGCGGAGGGCCTCGAGAGCGACAGCACTGGATTGAACCTGCTGCGCGCAAGGAGATTTCAGATTTTCCCAGTCGCAAATAGAGCTTCAACACATAGCCGGCGGGGAACATCCCAACCTCAAACCCTCGAGCTCTTGAGCCGTTGAACCCTCAAGCCCTTCAAATTCTCAGCCCCTTTAGGAATCCTTGAGAGGGTTTAGGGTTTAGGGTTTCGGGTTTAGGGTGTAGGGTGTAAGGTTTAGGGTTTAGGGTTCGGGTTTAGGGTGTGTAGAAGGGAAGCTCGCTGGTGCTAGAAGGACGCGGGCCGCTCGCTTGTGTTAGCATGTAGTCCCACCCCAGCCACCCAAACTATTCTCATTTAGGGTTTAGGGTTCACCCTCCAACCCCCCCTCAAGGGGGCCTTCTTGCTTTTAATCCGAACTGTAAGCCTTCTGGAGCCTGTTGGTGGCTCGTGGGCCTTCCTGAGGCTTTCGTGGGGTAAAATGGAGGGGCGCCCAAAACCGTCGATTCCATATTTCAAACCCGCATTTTCAGTACGGGTCTGGGCAAATCCTGGACTCATGAAGCCTTAGGGAGTACCCCCCGACCCAAACCTAAAACACGGCTCAGGGTTTATATGAGCGACTGCCAAAACCGGCTGGCGGTGCTAATGGACGCAACATGAGGGGTGTCGCTTTTCATAAGTGTTCCCATCGCTTTACAGGGTTTAGCATCAGCTATCCACGCTTGATGTCTGCAGGTGTCGCTTTGCAAAAAAAAAGGCTACAGCCCACCCATGATTAACTTAGGGGTGTCGCTTTTCAGGTGTTCCCATCGTTTGACAGGTTTTCGGCATTCGTGTCCACCCCTTACTTACTTGAATGGCTAGGGGTTTTGGCGCTTGCTCATATAGGGCTTACACCCTCGTGTTGTTGAGGCATGACCAGTCACTGCAGGCCCCGTCTACCCTGAGGCTTTACCCTCCCTTATTGTTCTGTCGGGACGTAGGGTCGGAGGCCTCGGTCGAAGCCTCAAGCGCCCATGCACATGGACGGCGGCGCTCGCGGCAGTTTAGGGTTTAGGGTTTAGGGTTTAGGGTTTAGGGTTTAGGATTTAGGGTTTAGGGTTTAGGGTTTAGGATTTAGTGTTTAGGGTTTAGGGTTTAGGGTTTAGGGAGCTCGGGCCTGGGCCTGCGCTGGAGGGTAGCGGTCGCTCACAGGGTAGCTGTCCACCTCAGGAACCTGTGGGTTTAGGGCTTCGAGACCCAGGAGTAACCTCGGAATAAAAGGGTGCCCTTTTTTGGTTTAGGGGTTAGGGTTTAGGGTTTAGGGCTAGGAATAGCAAGGGTGCCCTTTTTGGTTTAAAGGGGCATTTGAGGGAACCCAAGCCCTACAAGAAGGGAATAAGGGCCTACTCCCGGTCCTTGGGCTTTTAGGTTTAGGGTCCATCGGGTTTATGGGGTGTATAGGGTTTAGGGTTTGTAGGGCCCTAAACCCTAAACCCTAAACCCTAAACCCTAAACCCTAAACCCTATATACCCTATGCAACCCAAGGGCCCATCCTTCAGAACACTCCTTTGGAAGGTAAGGGACCATGTCAAGGGATCATACAACTGCCTACCCTTAGACACACCCATAACCCAAAACCCGAAGTCAAGTACTGTAGGGGTTGAGGGTTTAGGGTTTAGGGTTTAGGGGTTTAGGGTTTAGGGTTTCGGGAACTGGCCATTACCAACATCAACCGCTCATGTTAGGAGGAGACGCCCCTTTCGACCGACCACTTGGAAGCCCACCTTCGCTCGTTTTCCGCGGATCTCAAAAAGAACCTGCCCTCCGACCTGCCTTAAGGCTCCATGGACCCTCCTACAGAGGGACTGGTACCTCCTAAGGAGGGTTCTGGGGTCTCAATTCTTAGGGTTTTGAGGACCCAAGAGCCTTAGGGTGTAACCCCAAAGCCCGTATGCCCCCAATAACCGCCTGAAACTGTCCCAGTAAAAAAACACCTAAACTCCAAACCCTAAATCCAAAAGCCCCTGAGGCCTAGACCCTAAGACCAAAACCCTGAATCACTCTTTCGTAGAACTAGAAAACCTGAAGCAAACACTGGCGGCAGGCACACAAGGTGTAGAGTCATGTGTTTCGAGTTTAGGGTGTTTTTAGGGCTTCTGGTTTACGGCTAGACCGTTCAAACTCTAAACCCTAAACCCTAAACCCTAAACCCCAAACCCTAAACCCTAAACCCCAAACCCCAACCCTAAATCTCTAAAACCCTAAAGCCTATTTTGGGGCTGAGGGCCTGGCCTCGAACAGGCCAGAGATCTGACCCGCGAGATGTGCTGTAGCAGACCGTACCTACCATGGCAGCAAGGCAAGTTTAGGGTTTAGGGTTTAGGGTTTAGGGTTTAGGGTTTAGGGTTTAGGGTTCAGGGTTCAGGGTTTAGGGTTAGGGTTTAGGGGGTAGGGGTGAAGTTTCGCTAACGGTAGGGCATATTACGAGCTGTAGCTTCGGGGTACGCAACCTTAAGGGTCCATGTACCTCAAGCTGGGAGGGTTAAAGCCTGACGCGAACCCCTGAACCGCATCTGCCTTGAGGGTTTTTGTTTAGGGCTTAAAACCCTAAACCCTAAACCCTAAACCCTAACAGAGAGCTTGCCCCAAGGCTCCAAGCACTGTTCCCCTCTCCCCCCCCGCCGAGGGATCCCGTATTATATATAGATATATATATATACATATACATATACATATACATATATATATATATATGTATATATAGATAGGTAGATAGATAGATAGATAGATAGATATGTGTATATATATATATATGCCGTTATACCGTGTATAGTCCCCATATACCTAAGTAGCCCCTACATTACCCCAAAGAACGTGAGCCCCTCCAAATCGTCCAAAGAACTGGTAATGTGGTCTTCGGGCCAAAGGCCCTGTGCAAACAAGAGTCCTTAGAACCTTAGGCCGAGGGTTTAGGGTTTAGGGTTTAGGGTTTAGGGTTTAGAGTTTAGGGTTTAGGGTTTAGGGTTCAGGGTTCGTTGCAGACTCTGAGAGTCTCAAGTGTACACCCTGCGGACCCTACTTACTGAGTTCTCTAGGGGGGGGAAAAGAGATGAGCAGTCTGAGGGTATCGGTTTTCGGGTTTGGGCTTAGCAACATTCAAATGGTTTGGGCTTAGGGCTTAGGGTTAAGGGTGTAGCTTTCTTCAGGGAGGTGTCATCTTTGAAATTAGACATCGCTTCGCATGCAACCGCACCCCCTTGGAGTATCCCTGCAAGAGGCCTCAATAACGCCGGTCGCTCAAGTGAACCTTTGGGTCCAAAGTTTAGGGTTTAGGGTTTAGGGTTTAGGGTTTAGGGTTTAGGGTTTAGGGTTTAGGGTTTGTGACCCTAAACCCTAAACACTATAAACCCTACACCCTCAACCCTGAACCCTAAATCCCAAACCCTACACCCCCTATTTCGATCCCTATTATTAGTACAAGGGGGAAAGGACTGTTAGTACAAGGGGGAAACTTTAAACACCTGAACCCTGAACCCTAGCCCTAAACCCTAAACCCTAAACCCTGAGCCCTAAACCCCTGAACCGACCCTCAACCCGGGACCTGCTGCGAGACGTCGGCGAGCTGCGCGGCAGCGCCCGCCATGTTCGTAACCTGGGAAGGTCAGGAAGGGCCCCCCCCTTTCTATACTGAGGCTTAGGGTTGAATTAAGCTTTAGGGTTTAATTAGGATTTAGGGTTTAGGGCTAGGGTTTAGGGCTTGTAGGCTTTAGGGCTTGTAGAGTTTAGGGTTTGAGACTTAGGGTTTAGTGTTTAGGGCTTGTTTAGGGCCTTGAGGGGTTGGGGTTTAGGACTTGTAGGGTTTAGGGTTTAGGGTTTAGGGGTATACGGGTTTAGGGTTCAGGGTTCAGGCTTGTAGGGTTTAGGGGTTTAGGGTTTACGGGCTTAGGGGTTAGGGATATCTTTTTCTTTTGGGGCTAGGGTAGGGCTTCATAAATCCCAAGACCTAAGTCTCGCAGCATGGCTGCGTAGAGACTGCAGCTGAGTCAACCACGGCCAAGGATTAGGTTTGTGGTTTAGGCTTCAAGGGGGTTTCCCCAGGATAACAACAAAGGTTCGCAACCTCCAGGCAACGCTATGGGCAACACTAACCCCCGAGCTATACTTGAAAAGGCCTTGAACCGTAAGGTTTAGGGTTTAATTAGGGTTAGGGATTAGGGTTTAGGGTTTCGAACGAGGAGTCCCACATCTCAGGCCTAACAGAGAGCCTACACCCCTAAAGCCCTTCAACCCCAAAGGTCCTAAAAAGTCGAGAAGCCCCAAACCCCAAGCTTTTAGCTTGTGAGCCACCAAAAAGGGTGCAGGGGTTAGGGTTTCTGGCTTAAGGGTCGATCGGCCCTACTTGGAAGCCCTTTTGACTTAGTAAATACAGAAACGTGGGTGATGGGGATTCTACTAGGGTTTCTAGGGGATAGTAGATAGACTGACGAAGTCAAAAGAGCCTCCAAGTAAACCGCATCAGAACTACATAGGAGCCTTTGGGCAACCCTTAAGCTTATGAGCCCTGGGGTTAGGGTTTCTGGCTTGTGGGTCTATCGGCCCTACACTGAAACCCTAAACCCTAAAGCCTAAACCCTAAACCCTAAACCCTAAACCCTAAACCCAGAAAATCCCCGCGGACCTTTTTTGGGGCCATCATTCAGGCGTTCAGGACTTCGACGCTGACGGTGGCGCCGGTGATGGCGATGAAGGGGCGCCATCCTTTCCTGGGTCTCTTAGCAAGGGGGGGGGGGGGGGGGGGGGGGTTGGGTTTAGGGTTTAGGGTTTAGGGTTTAGGGTTTAGGGTTTAGGGTTTAGGGTTTAGGGTTTAGGGTTTAGGGTTTAGGGTTTAGGGTTTAGGGGTAGGGTTTAGGGTTTAGGGTTTAGGGTTTAGGGTTTAGGGTTTAGGGTTTAGGGTTTAGGGTTTAGGCTTTAGGGTTAGGGTTTAGGGTTTAGGGTTTAGGGTTGGTTGAGGTTTAAGCCTACACCCTAAACCCTAACCCCCAGGCCCCCCGCCAGAATAAAAAAAAAAAAACAAGCAAAATCCCCCTACCCTAAACCCTAAACTATGCTGGCTTGGTAGGGGGGGACTGTTGAACTACCCTAGACCCTGAACCCTAAAGCCTAAAGCCTAAACCCTACGCCCCAATGATCCGACACGGTTTGAAGTCCACACGGGTATCGCTGGCTAGGGTCAATGCTAGGGTTGAGGCCGGCTTGAGGATGTTTAAGGTTTACGGGTTTGGCAGTTTGGCAAGACTTTGCAGGTTTAGGGTTTAGGGTTTAGGGTTTAGGGTTTAGGGTTTAAACTTGAAGGATTTAGGATGGTTTCCCCCCCCCCCCCCCCCCCCCCCCCACACCAAATTTGTTTGGGGGGCTCCCGGGGGTATTTTTCTCAAAAGAAGGTCCCAGATTTGCTTGGGGTTTGGGCCGGGGGGGCGGGTTCCCTAAAGAAAGACAGTGCAACACCTAAACCCTAAACCCTAAACCCTAAACCCTAAACCCCTAAACCCTAAACCCTAAACCCTTTCAAACCCTTTCAGAGGCAACGGCTCAAGGCAACCTGGTGGCCAGTCCGCGCCATTGGCCGTGGCCTTACCTTGCTTGCTCAGCGGATGAGGGCCTTAATATAGGGGTCGGTTTAGGGTTTAGGGTTTAGGGTTTAGGGTTTAGGGTTTTGGGTTTAGGGTTTAGGGTTTGGGGTTAGTAAACCCCTTCTGTCCCTTTGCAATTAAACTATAATAACCCCCAAAACCCTATTCTAATTATTCAGGCCCCTATGTTAAGCATAACCAGGCCCTTAAAACCCGACTTGAAACCTGGGCCCTAAACCCAAAACCCTAAACCCTAAACCCTAACTATTTGTGGGGCACAGGGATGCTGGATTTGGAGCGGCTCAAAAACGAACAGCCACGCGAAGCCCCTGCAAAAGTTGAAGTAAACCCTCTAAACCCCCTACACCACCTAAACCCCCTAAACCCCCCAAACCCCCTAAACCACCTAAACCACCTACACCCCCTGAACCCCCTAAACCCCCTAAAACAAACCTTTAACCCCATACAACCCCTAAACCCCCGAAACCCGGAGTTTAGGGTCGAGGGTTGGAAGCCGAAGATCAGTATGCATATTTCCCCTGTGCTTCTCACCCCCACGCAAACACTACTTGGAGGTTCACGGGACTTACTAACCAATTATAACTGTACTTATAACCCACTTACAAGCCCCTTAAGTAAGTACAGTTATTATGGGGTTCATAAGTACCATGAACCTCCAAGCAACGTCTTACTTGGAAGCCCTTTTGACTTAGCAAGCAGGGTTGTTCAGATGGGTTATGGGGATCCTAATACGGTTTCTAAGGGACACCAAGTAAACTCTAAGAAGACTTGCTAAGTCACAAGGGCTTCTAAGTGCACAAACCCTAAACCCTAAACCCTAAACCCTAAACCCTAAACCCTAAACCCTAAACCCTAAACCCTAAACCCTAAACCCTAAACCCTAACCCTAAACCCTAAACCCTAAACCCTAAACCCTAAACCCTAAACCCTAAACCCTAAACCCTAAACCCTGACCAGGCCCAGATGCCCCTTGGTTCCGTAATGGTTTCGAGGATTGTCGGTTGCGTTACCTCGTCATCGTTGACCATGTAGGACCTAGGCTGTTGCTCTACAGAATGGGGGCCATAATCCCCCAAAAAAAGACAGAGAGAGAGAGAGAGGGTTTAGGGTTTAGGCTTTAGGGTTTAAGGTTTAGGGTTTAGGGAGAGGGAGAGAGAGAGAGAGAGAGAGAGAAAAAAAACAAAAAAAGAACCTGAGCCCTATCCAAAAAAGGAAACAGGGCCTGCTCTGGGTCCTAGGCCGTACAGGCTTGAGGGTCTATAGGGGTCAGGGGTTCAGGTTTTCTGCGAAACCCGAAACCCGAAACCCGAAACCCTAAACCCTAAACCCTAAACCCTAGGTTGGGCTGAGGTGCTCTAACCTACATGCCGTGGCTTCGGGCTTCAATCGGAAGGGGCGCCGGGAAGTCCAAACCCCTGAGCCCTCCACCCTAAGCCCCCCGGAGCCTGCAGTTTTGCATGGCTTCATAAGCATGATGTAGGGGATTAAGGGTAATGAACAAGCCTAAACCCTAAACCCTACACCCTAGACCCTAAACCTTCGAACCTACCCCTACAACAGCCAAGCCCTACACTCTCATCTAAGGGTAGGGATATGGGCCCAAACTCAGGGGCCATGTAACTACCCTAAGCCCTAGGCCCCAAACAAGGCCAAACCCTAAACCCTACACCCTACACCCTACACCCTAAACCCTAAACCCTAAACCCTAAGCCCTAAACCCTAAACCCTAAGCCCTAAGCCCCCCAAACAAGGCCAAGCGACAGGCTATCCTCTTCCTCTCCGATCCGGAGATTCATGCGAATCGAGTCTCCAACTGTCAAACTCGGCATGTCCCCTGATGAGCAGCTGCCAGCATCCCTTAGGTGAGCGGCATGATCCTTTAGCATGGGTTTAGGGTTTAGGGTTTAGGGTTTAGGGTTTAGGGTTTAGGGTTTAGGGTTTAGGGCCAAGGTACTTCAATGTAGGGAGGTCTCAACAAGAATCGTATATAGGGTTTACGATATCAGGGGTACACCCATTTGGGGTTCCTTATTCTAAGGGGATCCTACCACTTGGGGTCTATATCAGGGGTCTCTTGTTTTCGCAAACCCGCATAAAGAGGGGCACACGGTTGCAACTTTCTGGGATCTAAACCCTAAACCCTAAACCCTAAACCCTAAAACACGTGCAAGGCGCTCGGTGTTGTACTTGCGGCAAACGAAGGTGGCGCCGGTACCATGTGATCCCAAGGCCACAAACACCTCGCCTAGGTTGGCATTTAACATCATGGGTTGCCCCACGATCCCCCTCAAACCCTAAACCCTAAACCCTAAATCATAGGTTCTCCTACTACCCCTTCTATACTGACCCCTCTAGGTTCTCCCCTTCAATGGCCAAAATTAGGCGTAAATATCCCTAGATAGCCTTAAGTAAGGGGTGGAACCTAGGGAGGGGGTAGTATTGAGGGGGGGGGGGTAGTAGGGGAACCCGAACGCTTGGAGAAAAAAATTGCGTATAGGGTTCCTTTGCTAGGTAGGCCCTTGGGACATATTTTTCCTTATTGTGAAGAGAACCCTATTTAGGAACATTTTCTGAGTGTTTCCAGGACCAACCTAACCCTAAACCCTAAACCCTAAACCCTAAACCCTAAACCCTAAACCCTAAACCCTAAACCCTAAAACCCTAAAACCCTAAAACCCTAACCCCTAAGACCCTAAACCCTAAACCCTAAACCCTAAAGGAAGATGTAAAATATCCCAACAGCCAGGCCTGGTCGCCCTCAAAGGTTCCCAGGCCATGATGGCCCACCAGCCCCACATAGAAGTCAAAACGCTTTAGGGCAGCTTCCAAGCGTGCCTCCACAACAAACTCTTGTCCAGCCGAGCTGAGAGCAGAAGAAGACAGTACCTCGGGTTTGGGGGGGGGGGGGGGGGGGGGGGGGGGGGGGGGGGGGGGGGTTTGAGGGTTTAGGGTTTAGGGTTAGGGTTTGCGGTGTAAGGTTTCGGGGGTACTTTAGCTCATTCGCGTACTCTAACCTCAAAGTCCAGAAGCAGCCCCGACGTTGCATGAACCTGAATCGAGAGCCGAGACGTAGGCAGTATATCCAAACAAACAACAATCAACAACAGACATGTCTATATATGTATATAAATGTATACAATATAATATATATATATATATGTTATCTATAGGTATATATATATATATACATGCGTGCGTGCATGTATGTTTGTACACCCACACAGAGCGTAGACACTTGAACAAAGATCAACCCTGAAACCTAAAAACCATAGCGCCTTAAGCCTTTGGGGCAACTCACCCTAAACCCTAAACCCTAAACCCTAAGCCCTAAACCCAAACCCTAAACCCTAAACCCTAAACCCTAAACCCTAAACCCTAAACCCTAAACCCTAAACCCCCCTTGAAACCCTGCACTTGCGGCGCAAGACACCACACACTGGACGCCCCCAGCGCAGGCTTTGAAGGAAACGGCTTTCTCACCCGGCTTTTGCGGAAGCCGCTTTGCCACATGCTTCACCTAGGGTTTAGTGTTCAGGGTCTATTGTTTAGGATTTAGGGTTTAGGGTTAGGGTTTGGGGTTTAGGGTTTAGGGTTTAAGGTTGGGGTGTTCCCCTTATAAACAGTCCTCAAGACGGATTCTAAGACGGATTGTAATGGGGGGGTACTATAATCCCTATTAAGGACTGTGAAGTGGGGGAACATCCTAAATTTAGGGGTTCATAGGGTGTTTGGGCTTAGGGTTGACCAATAGGGTTAGGGAAACCCTAACGCTGAACCCTAGCCGGTCCCAGCCGACGTAATGCGGATAACACCCCTGAACGCTGACCACGACATAGCCTCTACTCATGATCATGAAACCTTAAACCTTACTAAAGCCCAAACCCTAAAACCCTAAAGCCCTAAACCCCTAAAACCCTAAAACCCTAAAATCCTAAATTCCAAAAGTCGTAAAACCCTAAAACCCTAAAGCCCTAAAATCCAAAAAACACAAAATCCTAAAACCCTAAAACCCTAAAGCCCTAAAACCCTAAAACCGTAAAGCCCTAAAACCGAAAAAACCTTGAAGCCCTAAAAATCCTAAAACCCTGAAACCCTAAACCCTAAACCTGAAACCCTAAACCCTGCAAGTAGGGTGAGAGTAAGCCCTGAACTGAAACTGTTGGGCAGGTTCGCGCGGTCTGTGGGCGAGTTCCCGTAGCCTCCAAGCCACATCCTCGGCTGACTTTTTGAACTCCTCCTAAGAGCTTAACTTTTTATGCTCCTTATTATAGGGTTTAGGTTTTAGGGTTTAGGGTTTAGGGTTTATGGTTTAGGGTTTAGGGTTCAGGGTTTTACAAGAACCCAAAAGGTTAAAGGCCTAAGAGCCAGCCAGAAGAAAGCCAAGCGTCTGTGGGTTGGAGGTGCAATCCCACAGCTCCTCCTCATCCTTGCCTGCAGCTGGTGTGGGGTTTAGGGTTTACAGGGCTTATAGGGTTTATAGGGCTTGTAGGGTTTAGAGGGCTTGTAGGGCTTATAGGGTTTTTAGGATTAAAGCCTGGAACTGGCAGGGAGCAACCTCTGGGGAGCAAAGAAAGGCAGCCTGCAAGCCTGGAAACCTACACACTCTGAACCCTAGACCCTACAAGCCTTCAACCCCAAACCCTGCAAACCTTAAACCCTAAACCCTAAACGCCCCAAACCTTGAGCCCTACAAGTGAACCCTTAAGCCCTATGCAAAACCCTATAAATCCCAGACCCTAAAAGGCCTAAGCCCACCCTAAGCCAAGCCTCAACCCTAAATCAACTCTCAACCCTCAACCCTCAACCCGCAACTCTCAACCCTCAACCCTAAACCCTAAACCCTAAACTCGCTGCGCCGGGCCTTTGGCCTTCTTCCCTGCGGCCGGGGCCGCAGCGGCGGGACGCTTCATGGCCGACACTTCCCCCCAGCGCAGACTTGAGGGCTTGATGTGGTTGAGGGTTTGTAGGGTTTGTAGGGTTTAGGGTTTGGGGTTTAGGGTTTAGGGTTGAGGGTTTAGGGTTTAGGGTTTAGGGCTAAGGGTTTAGGGTTTGGGGTTTAGGGTTTAGGGTTTGCGCCAGGGCAGTGTACTGCGGGCCCTCATGCTGCCAAAGCTTGAAGTCAAGAACTCGGACTGAGAGGGTTCGAGGATTACGGGAATCGAGGATTGCAGGCTTTGAATGGCTGTGGTCTCAGGCTCTGCAAGCCCCGAAACCCTAACCCTCAACCCTGACCCTCCCTACTTCCTCAACCTCGCAGGTTATGACCCTAGGCTGCGCAATTCGCCCCACACCTTAAACCCTATAAGCCCCATATCCCAAACGCGGAACCCCAAACCCTAAACCCTAAACCCTAAACCCTAAACCCTAAACCCTAAACCTGCAGCCACCCCTCTCCCCCCCCCTGCCCAGAGACTGACTGAGGGTGCGACCCAGGCCGGAAGGGGTCCAACCTCGAGAGTTGTTTGGTTTGTCTCTCTCCCTGAACCCTAAACCCTAAACCCTAAACCCTAAACCCTTGGTAGCCCAATGACCATGTGATAATCGTCCTTTTTTTGGTTGGGGGGGGGAGGGAGTTCATTTTCCTAAGGGAGCCAGGAACCCAACAAAGGGCGAAAGGGTTTAGGGTTTAGGGTTTAGGGTTTAGGGTTTAGGGTTTAGGGTTTAGGGTTTAGGGTTTAGGGTTTAGGGGTCTTGAGGATAAGAGGGTTGAGAGAGCCTTGGAGCTGCAATCAGTTGATCGGAGGAACCCTGAACTACTATTTGCTTAAGAACCTCAAAAGAATCAATTTTTGGGGTTTAGGGTTTAGGGTTTAGGGTTTAGGGTTTAGGGTGAGATTAGTAGTAAGCCCTAACCCTTCCCATCCTGAACGCTTTGAGTAGAAGATGAGCTCCCTAAACCCTAAACCCTAAACCCTAAGCTCCCAGCCCCGAGCTGCATGCAAAACTCGTCGCAGAAGTGCGAGCAGTTCCGCCTGAGGCGGCTTAGGTTTGAGACTTTAGGGGTTAGGGTTTGGGGATTGTAGGGGTTTGGGGTTTAGGGTTTAGGGTTTAGGGTTTGGGGTAGGGTTCGGAGCTTCGGGCTTAGGCCCATTTTGGGGTCTCTACGAAAGCCGCTTCCCTTTTACCCTAAGGGTCCATGCACCTTATGTTTTATATACTTGGGCCCCAAAGTCCTTAGATGGGAAGTACTTGAAGGCCCAAGTATTTCCTATTACTATTTAGGTACATGGACCCTGGTTACCCCAAGCCCTAAACCCTACAGCATGAACTCTGAACCCTCCAACCCCCGAAACCCTAAACCCTAAACCCTGAACCCTAAACCCAAAACCCTAAACCCTGAACCCTAAACCCCAGCCACGAAACCACTTGAGCAACTTGAGCGCCACACCGAAAAATGTCGTACTGTCGGCAGGGCCTAGGGCAAGAGGGAGCGCTGGTTGGGTTTACGGTTTAGGTAGGTTTCGGGGCTGGTCTTACATAACTGGAACAGAAGGGTTTTTAGCTTCGGTAGCTCCTGCCCACGGGCGTTTCCTGAAATTGGGGAACCCCCTGCCTTGCACCCCAAAAAGAGCGTAATGCCTGCATATTCTGGACTCCCAAGTCGACACCCACTTTTTTTTTAGGGTTTAGGGTTTAGGGTTTAGGGTTTAGGGTTTAGGGTTTAGGGTTTAGGGTTTAGGGCAAGAAAAGATTGGGTTCCGGGTTTCGGTTTAAGGTTCAGGACTTACAAGCTTAGCCCTAAAGGTCGATGTGACTATATGGTATATACTTGGGCCTTATAAAGCGACGACATGGGAACTCCTTAAGGGCCAAGTATAGACTATCCTAAATCCCTGTTCCCCTAGGAAGAAAAAAGGATCCTTTTTGATTATATATAAGAAAGCCCATAACCCAAAAAGTAACAAGGATCCCTAACACTGATCTAGTATATAGGTACATGGACCCTTAGGGTAGCATATGGGGATGACTGGTGGTCTAGGTAGCTTAGGAGTGTTGGGGTTTGAAGTCTGGCGTGTGGGTGTGTGTGAGGGGGAACAAGGGTTTAGGGTTTAGGGGTGGTTAAATGGGCCATTTTCTCAGATCCAACTTGGGATGTTCCCCTTGTCCTAACAGTCCTTGATAGGGATTATAGTACCCCCCCCCCCCCCCAAAAACCCCAAACCCAAGGAGCTACCTTCAACCGCAAACCGTAAACCCTAAACCCTAAA